CTCCCTTGAAGCAAACCAAATCTGTCCAGTTCTAAATGGCCACAGTTCTCTAGGGGACAAAAGCTCTCTTTTCCTCTCCTCCTGTCAGCAAGTCTTAAAGCTGCAAGAATAATTCTGTACAGATTCCCCTCTAGATAGGCAATGATTTAAAGAATTCATGAAGTAACAATGGCAGTGTAAATAAACAATGAAAAACTGAAAGATCATTGAAGCGACACACAGAAAATGTTCACTGAAGAAAGAACAAGATCAGTGATTCAAAACCTCTTCTGCTTTGTTACATTCACCCATAAACGGGCCCAGCAATAATCTGACAATGCTAAAGAACGGATTCGGACACAAAAACCTACCTGCTTAAAAACCTGTCTCCCCAACCTCCTCCCTTAAAGGCAAACCTTCCCATACTTTTCAATTCCACCTTCTTTATGTCTTACACCCCTCATCACATTTCTGCTTTCTGTCAGATTTCAGCTCTCTTGTACCAATGAATGTAAAGCAACTTAAGCCAACACCTGGAGTACTCAAATTGTTATACTTTTTAGAAAGAGGAAAAGGTGCCACTGCCCTCATTGTCAGGACAGGAGAAGAAATGACCCCCAGTGAATTGGTCCTGACATGTACTTCCCAAGGCTAGGTGCTAATCAATATTTACTGAGTAGCTCAGCACAGACCATATTGCAAAATACAAGGAAAAAAAGAAGTATTCCCCCCACCCCAGTCACACACTAGTTTTGTATCCCTAAATCAAACACATCATTTGCTTTTCTTGTTCATTATTAAACCAAAAGGATGCTTTAGACAGCATTTTTCTCCCTGCTAAGAGAAACCTTCCATATTTGACAGGTAAAGTCTGCTTGGAATTGACATACTGGCTACATTTAAAGCAGATGTACAAGATTTGGAGGAAGTGTATTTTTAAATCGAACATAAAAACCAAGAGGTGGCAAAAAAGAAGGCTAAGTGCAAAAAATGTCTCTCCTTCTCAGGGAGACAGAAATCTTTCACAAGTACCTCTTAGGGCTGTAGCTTTGACTCAATATCACTTGCCCCAAAAAAGGTGAGACTGCTGTATTCTCAAATCTGCAGGCAAGAAAAAAATATAAAATGAAGTAAAATAATACATTACCCAAAAGTCCAATTCTAAGTGGAGAAACCTAGCCAAATAACTTACCATACCAAAAGACTTGACTAAATTTCTGGCAGGGCCAGAGATAATTTGTATGAGAAAAATGTCAAAATGTTTTGGGTACACAGCCACTACAGGAAGGAAACAAACGGAAAACTGGGAAACACTGTATCAAAACCCAACAAATTGTTGACATCAACATTAGATAAATGAAGAGGCATATGCTAAGACAAACACCCTCAGATGGTGTGTGAGTCAACTTCTGCAGTGGATTTAGATGAGTTGCTTTCCTATACCAAGCTTAATATAAAACATAAAAAACAAACCTCAATTCCACCAGCTGGAAATGGATTTTGATGGGGGGGGGGGGGGAACCACCAAAAAAAACACCCACCCCACCCCCCCCCAAAAAAAAAAACAACAACAAAAAACCAAACAACCAAACAAAAAAAAACCAATCTGAGTAATCAGGGTCAGATTTGTTCCTCCTGCTGCATAATGAAAACAGTTTTTTCCAGGCATTACCCAAATCTAACCCACTTCCCAGAGTTAAACACAAAGAACCTGCATGACATTTTCCAAGATCTATTTCTTAATTTAACTGATCCAGAGACTTCTTACATTCAGAAAATAAGGAGTTTGGGGAAAGTAACTGCCAGTCTACAGAAAGCCACTTCCAGTCTACATGACTGGCAAAGAGTTTGCTCACCTTATATTATCTGACCCATGCAAGGGGTCCCCATCAGCCCTGTGGCAAACTACTCCCTTATAGGGAGCCTCCCTTATACACAACCAACCTGGAAGATTTTCTAGTGTATTAGATCTTCTAGCTCTATGATGTTTATTATTTCCATTACATCAAGAACTAGAGAAATTAATTAGATCACAGCACTGATGTATGTAACAGGTCCCTCCCCAAACTGTGTTCATGGCATAAGGCAAAGCAGGGGTGGAGTGGGGGGTTGTACATGTTAGTACATCTTCACCACCTCACACAATTCACAGGGAAAAAATAATATATATATTCTCAAGGGTTTTCAATCTACGTTTAACAAACAGGTACTTTTCTTCAGGTAAATTATAGGCGCACTCAGTGTGCACTAATAGAAATATATGATAGTCAAATTTTCCTTTTTTCCCTGTTTAATTTTCAACATCTTGATCTAGGAAAGGTAATCATTCCATGGATATCTATGGAGGGGAGAAATAATTTCTCACTGTAGAAACAAACAAGTTAGGAAAAAAAAGATTAAAATACCTACTCTTACTGATCATGATGAAACTGAAAAAGAGACCTTTTTCCACATGCATTCTTTTACAACCTGTAGTTAAAATGTTTCTTAGAACAGTATCAGAAGTATCTCTCACATACATACCTTATTCTATGATATATTAGGCTGTAGTCTCTCTGCCACTAATGACAGTGGCACCTCCCAGGTATTTTGGGCACCCTCCCTTAACTCTCAGGGCAGGACTCTAAAATTTGTGTTTTGAAGACAGGAACCTCACCTCCCCTTGCAACAGGTTCCTTCTCCAATCTATTTTCTACTAACTACAGTCAGGACAGAGTCAGTATGTAATGAAACTTGTGTACAGCACAGCGCTTACCTATAGCAACAGAAAGAGAACAAGCTAGAAATTAGCACACTCTTATTTAACTTAGTATGAATTAAAAGCATATTCTTATTATCCACGCATATATATGTGTGCGCTCATATGTATGTGTCTGTATACACATAACACAGTAAGCACTTCTACCACAAATACCTGTACTAGAGGTATTTGTGAAGAAACAAGCTTCTCCAAAACATAAATACTGTTTTCCCAGAACTGTATCTGCACAAAGACAGGAAGCTCTTCTCAAGTATCTATTACAAACAGCCAAAAAAAAGTTATCAAAATATTGTTGCAGAAGCACAGACAAAGGATAAAAATATGGCAAGAGTGAATCAAAACACATAGCTAAATAGATTTTCCTTTGATTTGCCCAGGTCTTCATTAACTCATGGGACATACCCATCAACAGATGTCTAAATATGAGACTCTCTGCTTCACCTACATGAAATGTAGTTCTTAAACAAGGAACTTAATTTTTATTAATTTGAAACACCTTTAATTCAAAGCCAAATGTATTACATTTCTATATCCTTAGAGGTGTTTACACAGGTCTTTTCTGCAGCTTAAATGTTATAGCTATCTGCATTTCCCCATCTGCTTTCTCTGGATCTTGAAAAAAAGCTCTTCTCAAAATGACATTTGTCCATGTGAAAACTTAAGTTTATAGAAGCACTATTCAAATGCATGCATTTAGATAACATGCTTATTAAAATCTACAAACCTATGCACATTTACTTACCAGCCTAACTGCAGTGACCACTAATAATGAAAAAGAGATTTAATTTTCTCTTAACTACCAAAAAAGTTTACATACCTAGCACAAGCATGATTTTATACCCCATATTTTATATGCATAGCCTTGAGGACCAAACCCACTGCATACAAGTCCAATGGAAGATACTGATCACTCTAAAGATTTGGTCCCTTCCAAAGAAACGGGGCGGGGGATGATATATTTTTTTCAAACTAGATACTCCTTTTTAAACTAGATCTAGAAAGAAGCAATTCTTTCCTTAAAAGCCATGCTCCTCGTCCAAGGGACTCGCGTGATGGGATGCTGATAAACCAGCTAAAATAACAGTGGTGTTGTGGAACTTGGGACCTATGACATAAGGGACAGAGACGTCAGCCACATGGCCATGTCCTGGAGAGCAGCATCCCTGCAGGGCTCCCTCCTGGGGTGGCAGCATGGGCTCCTGTTGCCACTGCTGGTGAGCCATGTGCTGACTTGACAGCTGCCCAAAAGATAAGCGGGGTGTGGAGGGGACACGCAGAAGCATTTGTTTTGCAAGAACTATCTCCATCTTACAAGCCTGATTCAATATTTTTCTGTCTTATTTTTAATTAAAAAGAGGATACACTTCATATTAGAAATCTGTAGTTTTTGAAGCTTGAATCATTTAGCCTACTAAACCCAAGCCTGTAATACGGGTGTTATTTCTTAAAAACATACAGTAAATGCATTAAATTATTGATAGTCATTAAACAGGAAAAGAATTTAAACAGCTCTCAGCTTTTATCAATCATTAATGCAGTTTCCACTTGCACATCTCACTGGGTTGCTATCATACAGCACAGAGCAAAGAGTACAAATCCTGAAGGCATGAATTCATTTTCTCTTGATGCAGAGTAAAAATATTCTTGGCAGCAGGAGAGAGGCTAAACCATGAAGTAGAATGGCTGAAAGGAGGTTCTGCATTTTGCAGTAAACAGGTAGCAATACAGGGGAGCGGCAATTTTAGGGTCTGAGGCTCATCCACTTCTCCTCATCTCCTATAAGGGCCAGTATTGTTGCCATCAATCACCTCCAACACCCAGTAGCCTAAAGCTGACAGTGTTTACAAATGTGATCTCTATTTGAAATGTATGTTAATTCAATGGCATATGGAGGGGAAAAAAGGAACACTGAGGTCAATAGTAAAGCATCCAGCAACCTGAGCGAGACAAAGATTTCACCCCAAGCTGCTTGCCAGCTAGTGAGCCAGTAACGCAGATAATGTGCTGAAAACCTCAACTGTCAAACTGACAGCCTCAGCTCAGAAAAATGATGGCAACTGAGACAGTCTCTTGAAGCTATTGTGAACCTTTACTGGGGCAAGTTATGACTAGACCTGATGTTTTTATCAGCTCTGAATGACTCATGTCAATATGGGGAATCTCGAGATTGATGCCAATTGGTAGCACCTTGCCTGGCTGTGATATACCAGCTACCATTAAAGAGAAGTAAAATCCCATTTTTTGTCCATTTTGTACACAGACTGAAGGCCTGTCTTACAAAGCTGCTCTCTCAACTTTTATTCCCTGCAATTTTATTGAAATTCAAGAGTTCAAAATGTAGCAATGAGGAACAAGCAAAGAGCAACAAGCCAGGTATGACTGCAGCATGCAAGGACCTATCTGACCTTCCTCTACAGCAGCTACTGTAAATAGTCCATAGTCATAAAAACATCAACATGAAACACACAGAAACACCTGCTCTGGCTAGATATTAGCCAGTGAAACCTTAGCCCTGCAGCAGCCATGTACTGGAACCCAAATTAATTTGTTTTAAAGTACCTTGTGTCTGTTTAAATGAACCATAATAATAGTTCTGAAGCACGGTGCAGACATATCTAAAGCTGAACACAGGACTGCTCAAGAGACACATGCCCACACCCAGAGACCACTTAGAAAGTATTAGCAGAAAAAACTCCTCACAACCAAAGCATTCTACTCCCCATGATGGCATAAGTTCCTTTGAAGAACATTTCTTCTCATTCAGAGAAATGTTAATGTCAAAGATTTAGAAGAAAAGTGCAGAAAGAATCTTTGTCTGCTCCCAAAAATCTAAGTCCTGTGGAGGCTTTTTTTTTTTTCCTGAAAATGATTCAAGAATGCACTGAGCTGAGCAACTAGATAATGCCAAGTGTTGATACAAAAGTAGCCAGGAAAAGCTGCTGTCACTGGAAAACACTTCCTAGCTTGATTGTTTACAGACAAATGTGTTATAAAATACAAATATATTTATTTCCAACCATCATTAGTGTAAATCTACATCACATAAAAAAAAAAATAAGACGTGCATATGTCTCATACTGAGTCCCAAGGAAGGTAATACAGTATTTAAAGTAATAATACAAAAGCTATTACATGCCTGAATTGATTTCATGATACATCAACAATCTAAGTAATTCACAATCAATTTCAGTATGATAGTAATCCTTACCTATATACAGAACTGTGAGAGTAATAGCCTATATTATTAATGTAATACACAACCACTGCCAGGTTTCACACAGGTCCGGAAACCAGCAACAACCCCAGAGAGAGGATGCTTGCCTGTCCTTTAGGCCATACGCAGTGTACCACTGCACTGACTGCAAAGAAAAAGGGAAATGGAAATCAGGGCATCAACATGAGGTGCTTGGACCAGCTCCACTGCTGCCTGCATGAAGCCACTGCGATGGCTGAACAAGCAACAGGCTGAGAAGCCAGCTATGCTAGGGCTGACATTCCCTCCCCCTGCCCTTGCCCTCTAAAGTGAAACAAGAAAAAGGCTCTGCTTCAGTTTGTGCTCTTAATTCCTCAAGACACGTTTATGGAAAGCCCATGCAGCTCTGACACTGGTTTTAAGCACCCCCCTATACATGGTTTTGGATTTTTTTATTTTTTTATTTTGCCCAAAAGGATTAGTTTATGGTAATGCATCCTTCGTGCCAAACACTTTTTTTTTTTAAGGACTAAATTTGTCTGTAAACAGTTCCAGTTCACATCTTTTCCCCACCCCCACCAAGAATGCACATTTCAAGAAGCTACAACTGCTATTAAATTTTGCCTAGCCTGTACTATCTGGAATTTGTATTTTGACACAACAATCTGGACCTCTAGCTGAAAGACAGAGTGAGAGTGACAAGCTCCTAGCCTTTCCCCTTCCTAACCAGTGCAAGGCTTGTAGAAGATGACACAAGCAAAGGCTGCAAAACAAACTAAATTTCTCAAATCCCCTTCGTCTTGTAAGAACTGCAGCTAAATCTAATGGAAAGCAACTCTTTAAAGCCTTTCAAATTCTTATCAGTGTTTGTACAGCATATGTTGTTAGAGAAGAGAGATGCCATCTCCTAGTACAGCATTGCACATTTAACTGAACTGCCACAGACCCACACTTGAGGCAGTAACTATTTGAGTTCTGCTAGTTTCAGAGATAGGACCTTTCTGTATTGGATGCTTTGGTTTTATACAGCAGTATCTGTATATATGCAGCACCATCCCCTCTCCCCCCCTTTATTTTTATAAATTGATCCCATGATAAAAGTCACTTAAAATAACAAAGCCAAACAATTGTCAAACCACCACTAATATGAGCTTTCAAACAGGTTTCCACTTCATAAATCATTTCGGTGATCTAGTTTCACACCACCCCAGGGAAAGTTGTATGCATAACAGAGAAAATTCATTATCAATATGCAGAGATCATTTGGCAACAATATCACTACTAGTAAAGACCTGTGCAGTGGCACTATGATTTCAATGCATTGCACATACAGTATAGAAGAGGTGTTTAAAACCAATGGATTAACTGTAGGTTTGCTAAATCAGCAAAAGGCAACCAGTTCTGCTTCAGGTGCTCAGTCATCTACTTACCCCTGAACCAATGCACAGTGGGCATAAGGAAGAGAATAGAGCAAAATCGGTGGGTACTAACTTACTGCTTTTGCTTAGGAAAGCAATTTCCATCATTTTCAGTAGATCTGCTAATGATCTAAAGGGTCTAGCAAGTTCAGAGACCTCATCTATTAGCTGAAACCTGCTCATGTGCCATGTTCAAAGACAGCACCAGGAATATCACTATTAATTTCTATGCTACGCATGTATTTTCAGGTGTTTATTCTATTAAGGCTTCATATTATTTTCTAATAATCACCTGTGCTCTAACTACTTCTGATATTTTTTCACCTTAAAAAAAAAAAATACAAATTCTCTTGTTCTGCTCACCAGTTCTCTGTTCTCCCTTTGTGACAGATTTCTGCTATCAGTGCTCAATGGTTGAGACTCTGAATATTAGTCTTCCAGAGGATGAAGAAAAATCAGTGAACCATACCCTGTGTGTGCATGTTTGTTTGGCTGTATTTCCCACCTCCAACACATTTGCTTCTCCTGAAGCTCAAATGGTCACAAATAGCTCTTAATCAATACTTTTCCGCTGGAAATTCATCCAAAAGCTAATTTCTTGTTACAAGAAATTCAGCCTCAGGAATTTAATCAGAAACCAAAACAGAGAGCAAAATGACTGAAGGAATAAGTTGAGTGAGAAGCATTTAGTAACTGGTTATCTGAAATTATCAACTAAACTAAGTATTTTCACAATAACTACAGCTATAACTAATGTGAAACAGAACTAGAATTCCAGTAAGATGAATTCAGCCAAGTTTTTTCTGTGAATGGAAACCAAAAATGTAGTAGTCAAAGGATAGAAACAGGTAGCCAACACAGCAATCTGACCCCAAAGCATGTAACATGTAAAAAACTGTCAGCCAGAGGTTCCGAGTCTGTAAACAGCACAACGGTAAGAATCATTTGACTTCCCTGGGCTTTGTACGAGTCAGTTATTAGAAACAAAACTTAGGCAGCTGATCCTGCATCTCCTATTTGGTTCATTCTTACTTTCACATGTCAGCAATAATCTCTTACAAATATGTATCCCACAATACTGCAAAGTCTTAGGCAGGTGGGGCAGGGATAGTTGATGGTTTTGTCACCAGCATCTCAGAGACCAGTTTAGAAAACAAAATTTAAAAGCTACAATACCTACAGGTGCTCTGTTTATGCTGTGTGTCAGCAGTGGAATCAGCGCTAGTTTTTAGATAGAAAGACACAAAAAAAGTTTTCAATACTGCCTATATGACTTAAAAGGCGAACTCTCACTGTGTCTAAATCATTTAGGTATATCAAAAGGATGCTCCTGGCCTTTTGCTGTTATTCTATTAGATGCAACTACAAACTATTACCTAAAATTTATGCACAAGTATCAGTTGTCAATGGTACTTTAAGAAGAAAAAAGGTGCAATTGTCTCAGACTGTGAGACAATTTCCCATCAAGCTGTGGCACGTACGCAAAGCTTCTCAGCATCTTGTTCCACGACAATGGATTTGCAAAGCAAGAACTGAAGGGATTATTTGATTCAGCATCTATTCAAGTGCCCAATTCCTTCAGCAGTCAATACTAATCAACAAGCTAAAGCCTTGTAAGAAAAATCAGACAGCATTTGAATCCTTCCTGTTGCAGTAGGCAGGGTTCTGAGGCCTTACAGACCTACACACACCCCTCAGATGCTGCAGTTGTGGAAAATAAATTTTACTTGGGATTTAAAACACACCCTGCACTTCTTTCCAAATGCCAAAACACAAAGCTCAGCCTTCCACTGAAATTCTGAAGAGAAAAATATATACATACGTACAAACAATTTGGGCCTAATATCACTGATTTGTTACTTCACTGTGCAGAAAAGACATGAGCATAAGGGATAGGGATTAAAATAAGAGCAATACATTTTAGAGCAGATCACAGGCCATCCTAACACACGCAACTTTTGGATTAATAAAAGTAACAGGAAAAAAGTAAAATTCCCCATGTTATCTTTCAGGGTGAGTTCAGGGATTAAGAGATACAAATTATATAGCTATGACAGCAGACATGGGGAAAGTGAGTGCCAAAACATCAATAAGATCTTAAGAAAATAAACCATGTCTTGGGTCCTTAGAAAAACAAACAAAAAAAACACACGAACAAGATTTAGGTTAGGTTTTTAAATGTCCTTTCTGTTCAGTTAAAGTCCACATCTCATGCACTTATATTTCTTTTGGTATTGTATTAAAACAGAAACCTTCGGACTATCAAGCAGATCAGAGAGTATTTGGCATCTATTAAGACTCAGCATTGAAGCTGTGTTTTAAGAATCCTGCAAGCCCTTGCTCATCTGTCTTTAAGAAGTAGAAACTACACAAATCTGTTTTCCCCTCCATTACACGGCCACTCCAAATCCCGTTGCAGTTACTAAGTAATTCTTGGCAAAGCTATGCAAGAATGACCAAACCCACATTCAAAATAAATTGGCAGGCAAGCCATGTTGACTAGGTGGAGGGGGAGAGCTGGGAACACAGTGTTTTCAGGAGTGCCACACACTTCCATGATAGGGCAGAAATGGGACAATGCAATGATCTGGTAGAACAGAAAGACTTGCCTGTGTTTATCAGGGGATGGCTTGTTCGGATAATGAAGCAAAATGACTTCAGGCTGTATGACCCATCAGATTCAGAAGGAAGAATACGAATACTAGGGGTTTGGGATTCCTAGAGAATAGCTGAGGAAAAGGGGTGATCTGTAGCTGTGGACTGCTCTGCAGTGGTTAAGTCTGGCAAGAAGGAACAGTCAGACAAGTCTGAAACAAAAGTATCAGCTTTCACAGAAATTTACCTTCAAACCCAGCAAGGGTTAGCACACTGACAAAATCAGGATTTTTGTATTTTAAATAAAGCTTAAGAGCAATTCAGACATATATGTTAGTTACCGTGAAGAACATACGACCAGACATTAAATCCTCTATTAAATCTGAGCCACTACTAATCTGCTAGCACACCCGATGCTCAGTTCTGTGCCCTACTCTTCATCTGCCAAAACATACAGAAATCATTCCCGGCAGACAGGTCATCTCTTCCACAGCCCTTTTAAGCCTACAAACAAGTGAATACAAATGTGTATACATTTTAGATATATCCATGGTTTTAGAAGTTTAATATATAGCTATACTTTGTATCTGTTTACATGCACTTTCCATACACATGTATGCTTGTTTATGCAGAATAAAAAAGCTCAACATTTTAGAAACAACCAAGTTTTTGCACCAGGCAATGATGATTGAAACCTGAATATTTCATAGTGGTGAATCACACTGCCAAGTCTCTAGGGACCAGAGCAATTTGAACTGGCATAAACGAGTGTTTCCCAATCTTTTGCTGCTTCTGTAATGAGTTATGTTCCAGCCCTGCCAATCATTTATCGGAAGGCAGAACCACTCTCAAGCTTTTTAGCTATATTCACTGTTCATGAGTGCTGGGAAGGCTGTGCTTACTTCCACATGTGCAACTGCTGCTGACTCACAACAGCAGCCCATCCACACTTTAGACCTTCCTCCAAAGCCATCCATACACTTTCTCAGTGCTTTCCTAACACAGGTCTGCATGGGGCAGAAGGATGGAGAACCCTCGATTCAGAGCCCATTCTCCCATCAGCTTTTATCTTCCCAAATCATGAAATAAAATAATTTCTAAATCAGCAAAGACTGAAGAAGAATACAAGCAAAGCAGTTTCAATCCCTGTACCCACATTTAAACTGGCTGCCCTCTAGACCCAGACTGTGAGCCTTTGCATGCCAGCAGCTCTGCCTGGAAGCCTCCTGATCTCAAATGTTAACACATTCCCCCACTGATACAAGTTTAACCTCAACAGAAGAGAGGAAACAAGCTGCTGCACACAGATTAGAGCTGATGAGCAGTAGGTAATGACTGGAGCTGTGTCAAATTGCAGTTACAAATTTCTCTCCCCTCCCCCCTCCCTTTTTTCTTTCTTGAGGTACATACAGGTTCACACACTGCTGAAGTCTCCCTTTGAGT